AAAAAAGAAATGCAAGGATGATGAAACAGGATTAATCATTCACGGATAACCGTCATATTTCTTTTCCTATTTTCTAATATGTGAAGAGACATTCTATACGCATGAATGTTTTATAATTTATTACGCAAAGGAGTAATTCAGAATATTTGGCTACCTGAAGTTCAATATTTCTAAAGCTTTTGGTTTCTTTAGTTGTGTATTTATTAATGAAGGGTGGAAACTATCTGGAATGTATCATGCACAAGGGACTAAGAAATATCTGCATTTGGGGACTAAACGAAAATCATGACTGAGTGTCTTTTCATAATTTAGTAAGTTTTCGTGAACTGCGAATGTAGGGGAATTCCTTGTATAGGTTAGGGGCTTCTAGCTTCCCGACGTTGAGGCATTATTTGGACTTTGCTTAGTTAATTCTATACAATATTCCACTCGGTGACAGGGAAATGGAGAAATTTAAAATATAGGTCATTTGGACCTCTATTTCTTGTGAAAGTTCTCGGGAATTGGAATGTATATCTTTACTCTTTAAAAAATGTAATGTCCATGCAAGTTCATATTTTCGCTTTCAGATTTCAAAATAAACATTCAATACTACGCAACGTGAATTTTATAAAATGCACATGTTCTCTCTCCATTCATAGGCTTCCTTCCAAAATTATTTCAACTTCATGTACAAAACTTCATTTCATTTTTCTTTGTATCGTTCCTTTAGAGTTGAGTGTGAATGAGTGCTTTACTTTTTCTGCGAATATTTTTTCGAGACATTTTAAAATGAAATATACGATACCAACCAGATGAGCTATTAGACACATAGTTTTGTTCTAGTGTAACATGTTATTGGAACTTGAAAAGTGTAGATAAAATTATGCTGTTCCACGGTTATTGATCAAATTTAGTTTTTTTTATATTTTATGAAAAATTTTCCCTGGTACGTCGACTTGTAGGAGTCCACAAATCCAGCATGATTCCGCATTAAATAAACAAAAATAATATAAGTTGCACAGGCAACCTAGCCGAACTATAAACTTGAATTTAATATCCTCTGGACAGCCACTTATTCTTTATTTGTTTCTTGATATGCTCCCATGCTTTCTTTTGAGTTTATTTTGCTAATTAATTGTAAAGGCCCGATGATTAGGTTACAGATATTTCCCTGGCAAAATATAAGATTTATCTTACTCGTAGAATAAGGGAAATGGACTAAAATCTAGAAGTTAAAAACACATAGGACACTTTTGGGCGGAGGACAGAAAACGGAATCAGTAACGCAAACATAATGGAGCTTGTGCATGTGTAGGTATTTGATTCTGTACTACGCTCACATTGAATTTAACGGATAAATTGGTTGAATTCCCGCTTGCTATTTTGTGTTTCTTTTGTAACGATGTCTGTAAGGATGCTATGTTTCTCTGCCAGATGACCGTCAATGCTTTTCTCATACACCCCAGGGAAGAGCCGAGAGAGTTTATGAAACTGGAAGTCTGTCGCCTCTTAGCACATGATATTTATATATTTACTCACTAATGATCCTATGAATTGAATTTATGTACCCTGCACGAAAAAAGAATAGCTTGAAATACATGATAGGGGATAAAATGAAATATAAATACAAAAATAAATATACTTTCCTCTCGAAACAAAGCTGTACATAAACTTGCGTGTCTCTAGTACGTGTGAATGTGTTGTTTGTCCGCAGGATGATGAGAGGGAAATTATTGACACGTGCGGAACCCTGGTTTGCGGGAAAATCTGCACATTGAAGAGAAAGCTGAATGAACACGTTGTGTACCATGGGGGAATTGAAGCGTTCGGATGTGTCTACAGAGACGGAATCGCGATTCAGGAGCAAGAGTATCTTGCATAACATTTTGAAAACTCGCGCAGGACAGAAGCCACATATTGTGACCTATAATGCAGTTTGCTTCAGAAACACTTCAGCATCCTCAGAAGGAAAAGCAACGTTTGAGTGAAGATAAGAGTCTTCTGATGAAACCACTCTCATTGAATGGGAAAGCGTTGATTTTCCAGGAGAAATAGAAAGAGTAAAGATCATTATGTAAAACAAAATATGTGATAAACAAGAATTTCATTCGAGAACATTCAAGGACGATGAATCGTTGTTGAGCAGTCAGTAAATTTTCCAATATGCGGCCCATTTATAAACACCAATTTTTTTTCCATTCGTCACACTCCACCGTCGCTGGGTCGGTATATTTTATTTGCGGACTAGAAGCCACGAGTTTTTATTTTGTTTGTCACTGTCCACCGAAATCTTCTAACAGTAAGATGAAGAACATATAATAATATAATAATAAGGGTTGGTGCTGAATTTTTTTAAATGAACTTCTAGTATGTACTCCACGTGACGATTCAATCTTATATTTTAAGAGACTTGTTATGAAACTAAAAACTGAGGCTTGGATTTTATTGTGCCTTATTGCTTTCTTCATTTTATTAGTTGCGTAACGTAACTTTCGTTGCATATGTGTGTTTCAAAAGAAAGTAAGTAACTGAAATTTCAGAAAATTTTATATCGTAATATTCAGTAAGTTTTACTGTTTTTCAAACGTTTTAAATATTCTAGAATCATGGAAGTCGGAATCAATATTGAATATGTCTTTTAGGAGAGGCTCAACCGAGACTTCTTGAAGGTTCATGATCTTCCGTGTTCTGTAAATAAATTTGAGTATCTTGAACAATCGAGCGGTTTATACTTACTCGTGGTTGTCACTTTTACTTATACTTGATGTGGTTAACAGTGTCCTTATTGTATTGTCCTGTAATTCCAAAGGAACCGAATATTCAGAATTTGAGGTCACATGGGCTATGACATGGCCTCAGTTCCTTGCTCAATTAATTTTGCGACGCAGTACCGTCTGGATTTCCGACCTTCATACTGCGGGAGTCCTCGCCACCCCACGGTGCCTTTGACCCCCGCTACGATCACACCAACTATACACCGACGCCACGCCTTCCTCTTCAGCAGCACTTTCCGTTGGACCGCCCACACAGCATTTCGTCCGGCAGTACACCGACGCCAAGCCCATCGCATGGACTAAAATGGCTGCCGCATTAAGAGGCCTGATTTGGTTTTCCGCTCGATCACAGGGATCGTGAGTTGGAATCCCACTCGAAACATGGATGTTTATGCGCATTTGTTCTGTGATTAATTTGTCATGTTGCGACAGGTTGATCTACTGTCGAAGGATTCCTACTGACTGTGTATATAATTAAGAAACTGAAAAAGGTGCCAAGGCTCAGAGGGCTGTATAGCCGTATATAGAGAGAAAGTTTACCTCCCGATGTGATTAATTTTCCATGTTACAGATGTCGGAATAAAGCCAATACATATAAACGTCTGTACGATGCGAGTCAATGGAGACCGAGCCTCAGATTTCTAAGGGTATGAAGGTTCTGAAAATAAACAAATGAGAAGTAGTTGAACTTGTATTCTGAACAGTCACTACAGAATGGGTAACAAGTATGTCCACAATTGAGTCATCCTAAGTTCAAACCCTCACGAAGACTTAAATGAGATATGTGCATTTTTTCCTTATGAGTGGAAATATATATAGTACATGAAATTGAGTATGTAGCAACAGATACGTGAAGCTTGGAATTATAAATATTGACGA